CATCTCAGCACTAGCAGGGGTCCCCACACGGCCGCTCTAGCACCCAGGGCCGCACCGGGATAGGTCCATGTGGCTTCTCTTTGGGGATGTCTTGCAGGAAGTCAATCCTGCAAGCTGAAGCAGGGAACTGTTAAGGCAGCTGCACCCTAGTGCGACCATCACAAAGCAAGAGACCCGAGAACTAGAAAGGCAAGGCTCACCACCCATTTATCCCTCCGCCTTTCAATTAGCCCCACATGTGATTATCAGCCAGGTTGGCACAATTAACTAACTCACAGGGGTACATGGAAGAGGGGCAGGTGGGGAAAAGGAAGTGGGGACAAGGAAACAACAAGTGATCCAAAATCGATGGCAAGGAGGGTATAGGAGGCCTGGTAGGGCTTGATCAAGGGCAATGTAACTGAGAGAAATTACTGAATGAAGGTTGAACATGACAGTGGGACAAGAGGAAAGTAAAAGGAGATAGAGGAAAGAACTAGAAGGCAAAGGGCATTTATACAGGACTAAATAGAGGCATGTATATATGTAAATATATTTTTATATGACAATGGGGAAATAGATCTATGTGCATATATTTACAAGTTTAGTATTAAGGTAGCAGATGGATATTGGGCCTCCACTCAAGTACTCCCTCAATGCAAGAACACTTTGTTCTATTAAACTGGCATTCTATGAGGCTCACCTTCCCAACACAATCGCTAAAGACAAAGTGGGTGCATAAACAAATGTGGTAAAGAAAGCTAATGGTGTTTGGCTATCAAAAGATATAGCGTCTGGGGTCTTAAAGGCTTGAAGATAAACAAACGGCCATCTAGCTGAGAAGCAACAAAGCCCACAAGGAAGAAGCAAACCAGGCTGTGTGATCACAAAGTATCTGTAGGCTCAGGTACCAGGCATCAAAGAACAAAAAATCACATCATTTTGAATGAGGGGGAGTGTGGACTGGAGACCCAAAGCCCCTATGTAGGCAAATGGACATCCCCTTACAGAAGGATCGTGAGGAGGAGATAAGCCAGTCAGGGTATAATATAGCACCGATGAAACATACAACTTTCCTCTAGTTCTTTAATGTTTTGCCCCTCCCCCACTATCATGATCCCAATTCTACCCTACAAATCCAGCTAGACCAGTGTATATACACTGCTACAGATAGCAGTTGGAATCACAGGAAATCCAGGACAGATAAACACCTCAGGACCAATAATGAGAGTAGCGATACCAGAATGGTAAGGGTAAGGTGGGGTAGAAAGGGGAAATGATCACAATGATTGACAAATAACCCTCTCCCTGGGGGATGGACAACAGAAAAGTGGGTGAAGGGAGACATCTGACTGTGTAAGACTTGGAAAAAATTAATAATTTGTAAATTATCAAGGGTGCATGAGGGAGAGGAGGGGAGGGAGGGGAAAATGAGGAGCTGATACCAATGGCTAAAGTAGAAAGAAAATGTTTTGAGAATGATAATGGCAACAAATGTACAAATGTGCTTCGAGGTATATATGGATTGTGATAACAGTTGTACGAGTCCCCAATAAAATTAAAAAAAAAAAAGAAACCTAGGGATAGAAGCCCTGCTTTGTGCAAATGATATTTTTATAAAGTTTGGCAGAAGAAAAAATTTCTTATAAACTGAATGATCATTTCAAGCATTTTAGAATGGCTTATTATTTAAAAGTACATTTCCTATGAATCTCTTTTGCAAAAAGGTTGCTTGGATTTACAATGAACTCTTCCCACTATACTCCAGTTTCTAGATCCCTGGACTCGTTCATCTTTAAAACAACAGAGCCTGCCTTTGAAGCATGAAGCACTCAGAACTTTGCTTGGCCCTGCCCCTATTTGCCAACCATCATCAGCTCGGATTCCCGTACTTGGACTCACTCCTAGTGACTGGAATTTGATGTCTCCTGCTGCTCCTCAGTCTCCAGGATTCATGGCTCCAGGATGGACCATGAGCTTTGTCATCCTCCTAAATACTCTTAAAAGGGTCCCTTTCCTTCTTTTTGGTTGGCAGTGGGTGCTTAGGGCACTCATGTCCTCTTAGGCCACCTGAGCCGTGGTGCCCCAACCCACTTCTTATTCCCCTTCCTTAGATCTTTGCCAACCTCTGTTCAATTTATCATTTTTGTTTGCCTGGATGTTTTTTTTTTAATGCCGTGTCAGAGTTGAAAACATGTGGGCTTATTTCCAACTCTTCAGGCTATTTGTATTTTCATGAGAAAAAACAAAGCAAGAACAAGGAGAAAGTACCCAAGGTACAAAACAATGGCCCTCCGATGCTGGTTCCTGTATCAGACTCACCAGCTCTGCATCCGCTCGGAGGGATTGTTGGAAACAATGCTTCTCCAGTCACTGAGACTAACTGGATCTGACGCTCTGGGAGTGGGTACAGCACTTGGTATTTCAATAAAACCTCCCCCAGCCTCAAGTTTAAGAACCGCTGTTCTAGAGGGAAAGAAAGTGTCTGACAAACGTTTGGGGCACAATGGAACATACCTCTAAAAAAAATTAAGTCTTTATCATTCAAACTAAAGAATTTCTAGGATGCTATTGATTGAAAAAAAATCATTGTAAAACTTCAAGTAGAATACAATGTTTATAGAAAATTCAGAAACTGTATTTACATATGGAAATATATTTAGAAAGTTACACAGTGAACTGTGAATAGCGGTAACTTGGGGGAAATAGGTTTACTTTCCCCCTATGATTTGATTTACTTTCTTAATCAGAAGCATATGTGTTTGTATTACTGTGTGTTATTTACTTATTTATTTAATGATTAATCTAGGCATCTTCCACTCTTCTCTGGAAAAATTCGTAAGTAAAAATTAAATGAAGCCCCAGTCGGCTTCAGTGTCTGGACTAATCAAGGTTGGTGATGCTGTGGGGAATTCTAGAGCAAGTGAGGCGGAGAGAGTGCTCAGCCCTCCACAACTCAATGGGTCTTCTATGTAAAGCCACCCATGACAGGAAATGACAGCTTTCTCAAGTCCAGTGATCCAGCTGCTCTTAAATAGGCCAATTTAAAAGGGGGTGAGGTGGGGATTCCAAGGAGAAACAGAACAAGCTAGAACTTAAGGGTTCTCTTGAGAAATGCCAATTTATTTCTGGGAAATTTTCCTTTGTTGTAGAAATAATGTGTTTAAGTGGCCCATTTTTCACCCCCCTACCCTAGCTGGCAGTCATTCTGCAACTATGGTCTCTCCCTTTCAAGCTGGCTGTGTGTGTACACAGCATACAAGCATGGTAACCAGAATTTGGAAATAAAACAGGGTGGTGGAAAATAATCAAAGACAAAATGAAGCAGAGGTCGAAGAGGTAAGTTTGTCTACATATGTTCAAGATCCAGTTCTATCCTGACATTCTTTAGCTTATCATGCATCATGGGAAAGTTCTAAGGCTTCCCTAGGCTGTTCTCAGGGTACCACTCGATTCTTTCGCACATAGCAGGCTCCCCATCAGAAGCACTGCTTGTACACAAAGGATTCCAAAGCATTTCTACCTGCATTATCATCTGATATGCACACACTCCTCTTCTTCACTGCCCAGTGGGTTGCAGTCATGTGGGCGTGGTGAAAACAGACAATATAGTTGTCATCCTTGGGACAGCTGTTTCCCCAGAAACCAAGGAAATTTGGTCAAAAAAGTTTTAATACTTAATCCGTTCATCCTCACGAAAGGGAAAATTACTTATACTTAGCATCCTCATACTTTGAGCTAGGAGAATTGATAAAGGTGATCTCATTATTTTTGAAATCTACCAAGATACTCTCTATCTCTGGACCCTAAGCACACCAGACAGCCAAAGAGTTCACCAATGCCCCCACTACGCTTGCTGCTGCGTGAAGATAACATTCTTTTGTAGATGGGGGGGGGTGGCAGTGCCTTCTGAAAGCCTGTCTGTCTATGGCTAGGCCTCGCAGACGTTTTCGTCTAGAAGACCCAGGCGGCACACCAGGATTATGTGGTAGGAAGGAGATGAGGTGTGGGGCTTGATCTGCAGCATAATAGGAAGCGAGACCACAGGCACTAAAGTCACAAGTTGAATTCCAACTCTTCGATACCCTAGGATTTGAGGTAATTGACTACGTCTCAGAGCTTCAATGGGAATAATGTACTGGAACATACAGGGATATTGGAGTCATCGACAGTGTCTAAGTTTCCTAGCCCAGAGCATGGTTCCCAACAGGTGCTCAAAAAACCCAGTGATTCCCATCCCTTTATATAGCCTTTTAAAGAAAAAGTGTGTGTGGGGGGGTGGGGTGGGGTGGGGGTGGGATACAAAAGAATTTTAAAAGGTATGCTCTCTTCCCAATTTCACTGTGAGAGGCTCTGACTCTTGGACAGAGCCAGCTGGCACCCACAGCAAGTAGTGCCAGAGTTAGTGTCTGGGTAGGAGGACGGAGCCTGTCAGTGAGCATCCCACCCCCCCTCCGCATGTTGTTCCTAATCCACCCCCATCCTGGTATGTCGTCTCCCACAGTTATCAACTGTCCAGCCCCCAACATCTGACAGGAAAAAACCTGGCAGTTTTAGACCACTTTCCAGACCAGACTGCAGGTCATGAGGACAAAAGCATTCTCAGTGGCAGCTGGCTCCTGTGAGTGGGGGAGAGGTGAGATACAAGTGCTGAACACCAACTGGATGGGTCTGAATCCTGTTCCAGCCTCTACTGGTAGCTCAGATGCCTTTGGCTGGACTTAATGGACACAGAGGACAGAAGTCCCAACGGCCTGCTAAAGGAAGATTAAAAATGTACTTGTCTGCAGTTCGGAGAAAACAATTAATGATTATGTGTTCTAAGTCATAAAATAGACAGGGGAAGAGTAGATGACTTCTCTCTAGGCATATTAGGACTCTGCTCTGCTTTTGATGGGCAGGCTTAATTAGATCTTAATGTAATGTTCAGACAGATGATCATTAACAGCCCTCAAACTTAGCTCAAGGAGAATGAAATGCTTGGAGCACAGTGCCCAGTCAATTTCCAAAACAATACTTACTTTAGGGTCTGAACTCTTGAATTTTAATCTTTCCACCAATTCTATCATCGCCGCCTTCAGTCCGCCCGAGTCTTTGCTCTAAAAGAAAGACAAGTTAGGGGTCACTAGGCAGCATTTTGTAGCTCTCTAAAACACAAACAGCATTGCAGAGAACAATGAAAAGGAAGGCCATTTTCCCCTTCTTATCAGCCAACAGTACTAAACTACTGAAGAGCACTGCATAGTTCCTCTCCCAGTAACCTGGGAGAGGTATTGGAATGAAAATTAAATGCCATTTGTACAGGGTGGCTCATGGCTTCGTCTCAGGGCTCAGCTGCTCCAGTGAAGGCCAAGGCTCTGCAATGGAGACTTCCATCCAAGACGTCGGTTTTAGGGCCTACTGATTTCCATTTTGAGCTTGTACACGTCAAATACCAAACAACAAAAAAAACCAACCCCTAAATCCATCCAGATCCCAACTCCTAGTGACCCTATTCAGGGTGTACGTATTTATAGGAAGAGAACCTCATCTTTTCCCTGAGGGGAAACTGGTACGTTTGAACCACCAGCCTTATAGTTAGCAGTCCAATGCTTACTTGACAATGTCACCATGGCTCCACTTCAAACACAGAAGTGTGCAATACTAAATAGTCATGTACCAATTAAAAACAAAGGTAAAAAATCATAGGCTTTTAAAAGGGAATATCATTAGAATGACTGATTCAGAGGCTAGGTATATGAGTTAGGCAAATTAGATTTTGAATTTTGGATCTATCAATAGCTAGTTGACTAACCACCAATTATTGAGTTTCTAAAACCTCTCCTTTTTTATAATGAGGATAATTAATGAGTTTCTTTTTGTTTTGGTTTTTCCTAAAGCTTAACTGAAGTGGTGTTTGTAAAGCTACTGTCACAGTAGGTGGCCCATAAGAAGTGCTTCTTAAAATGTCAACTGTATTAAGGTATTTGCACATTGTGATATCAGACTGGGGGTCAAACATCAAATAAAAATATAAATATGATCTCCCAAATGCATGATATATATATATATATATATATAATTTAAAATTTTCTAGTAGCCACAATAAAGTAAAAATAGGTACCTAATTACTTTTAGTAATTTTACTTATATCATTATATCCAAACTATCATTATGGCAACACTTTGAAATCTATTATGTACTTCACACAACCCAGTTCAATTTGCTCTAGCTACAGGGGAGGAACCACATGGTAGTATCTTGGGTAAAGCGTCCCAATGTTGAGCAGTTCAAACTCTCCAACCTCTCCACTGGAGAAAGATGAAGGTGTCTGCTCCTGTCAAGATGTCTCATAAAGCCAAGGAACTGTTCCACTGCCATCAAGTCGGTTCCATCCCGAGAGGGCAGGGTAGAACTGCCATCCCGAGAGGGCAGGGTAGAACTGCCACCGCAGGATTCTGAGACAACAATTCTTCATGGAAGTAGAAAGCCTAGCTTTTCTCCCTGAGAGCAGTAGTGATTTCAAATAGCTGACCTTGCAGTTAGCAGGCCAATGTGTAACTACTATACCACCAGGACTCCTGACGACTCTACTCTCTAAATTCTTCCATGGGACTTAATATGATGGAGTGAGTTTGGTTCTTATTCTACTGTGGTTGTTATTTAATAGCCACATGTAACTAGTAGCTACTGTATTTAGATCTTAAATTCTAAAACCCCAAATAAACCCACTGTTGTCCTGTCATTTCCAAGTCATAACAACCCTGTGGGGCAGAGTAAAACTGTCCCCAAAGGGTTGGACTTTCAAGACCATAAATATTTACAGGAGAGGGCAGGGCTTTCTCCCACGGAAGGTCTAGTGGGTTTAAGCCATGAACCTATGGGCTAGTGTCCAAGCACTTTAACCACTATGCCATCAGCCCTCCAAAGTCATACTGCCTACATTTACATACCAAATCTTCCACTTGCTGTGTAACCTTAAGCAAGTAATTTGGCCTCTCTGTGCCTCCATTTATTTATTTATTTTAAGCAGGTAAACCGGTTTTATTTTCATTAGATTTTGGTTGAAAATGCTATAGCATTTTGTAGTATTTCTCATGATCCAGGTACACAGTATTTCTTCTTCCTTCTTAGGGGCTACCTTATTTTGTGTTGCTCCAAATGCAGTTATTTCCACTTGATATGTAAAATAAAGAATACTTGGTAAAAAGAGACATTTATCTGATTCAGTGTCAACAACAGCTCCAACAGTTTATTGCCACTTAAGGACCAGGGACTATTTACTCTAGTGATGAATACGCCACTTGAGCTAGAGCTAGCTCTTTAACATCTTGAGCTTAACCACAAAGCCGGACATGGGACAGTTCCGCCAAGCTCTCTAGATGATCCTGAACAGTAATCTTTTCCCTACCCAATCATTCAACAAATATTTACTAATACCTAATAGTTCCAGGCTCTCGATACAACTATTTTGAGTTTTCAGATGACAAAATAATCTTTAATGGATTGGACTTAGAGAAAAACAGTTCAAGCCCAATATCGGACTCTGAACATAATATCCCAGAAGTACACTATAGTAAATATGTCTAGCTAGTGACAACCGAGTGAAATGGCTTTAAAGACTTGATATTACAAAAAATTATTTTATAGCAAATAAGTATCCAAACATGTTCTTTCCTCATGACTGTGAATGTCATCAATGTAATATAAAATATTTTCTTCACTTGCTTCTACTAATGTCTTCACAACCAATTCGTTTTTCCTCTGACGAAAAGTTCTATGTCACACTTAAAGCAATGTAGAATTCCCAAATATCACAGGATAAAGGACTGAACATTCATCCACAGCTACACCTATAGGATATAATTCTTGGTTCCACCTGTGGCTATAGTCATAGTGATTTTCCATAGCCATTTTTCCTGATCAATTTTTGATGACCTTTATCTATCTGCAAGGATCAGACTTTGTTGTATCTTTAAGAATCTGGCTGTAGGGCCCAAGAGCTCTACCACCGAAGACCTCCTCCTCCTCCTCCTCGATCTGTAGCCAAGCCGAAGAACTCCACTTATTTATCTGTAAGTATGGCTAAAAATGCATCTATGCTACAAGATTGTAGTAAGGTTGAATAACTCAATACGTGTCCAAGTGCTGAGACAAGTACTGGCACATGGCAAATGCATGAGAAATTATTGTTGCTGTCTCCTTCATGTTTTAAGTTAGATTAAGAATTAAATATTTTATTTTTGGAGTTCCTATGCACAGCATCAAGAAGAGATTTTTAACAGTCTGCTGGATGAATGAATTGAATAAACACACACTCTTAAGGCATGAATATCCTAATAATAATACATTACATGTATACCGCACAATCTAAAGTCACATGGCTTCATTAATTTTCTTACCAAAACACTACAGGAGAGGGTAAGAGCATCATCCTCATTGTACCAGAAAGTACTAAGAGGCAATCAATGGTTGTTTTTATGAGAAGGGACAACATAGAAGTATAAACAAACACTCCAAGTATCACTTACTCAAAATTGGCCTCAGAATCAGCCATATTTTCCAAAGTTCAGGAAATAGTAAGACTCTACTATGGATTAAAATATACTAAAGGCCGAATATCCTTCCCTCCCCCCGCCGAGTCTCTCTTTCCTCTCTAGACTATACAATAAAATCTGATAGGACATGACTCAAATTGACATCTGTTTCAGATGTACTTGCCAAACATGGCTTAGCTCCCATTTCCTTTTGGATGTCATTCTAAATTTTCAGTTTGTATTTGTTTTACGATGGTGTACACCTCTCCTAATTTCTTCTCCAATTTCTGGTCTTCTGTCCTGTGCTCTCATACCAGTTGGGAAAAGGAATCTGGAGGGCACATACCAGCAAGTGGGTGAGTCCCGCACTATCTAAAAAAGGGTTACGTTGACAAACACAAGCCTGCTTTTATAAGATGATCAGACAACAAAGCCTGTCTGATGATATCATTCCACCAACCTGCTTCTCATTGGCTGGACAAGCAGGTCATTAGTCCCTGGAAAGCTCTCTTCCCCCACATCCCAGCTGCCAGCGCCCATTTTAAGCTCTCCAGCAAGAGCCTTGATGTATTATGACTGTCCCCCCGGCTTTAGAAAACAGAAAGGAATGCAACAGAGCCTTAAAACCTTCAGAAAAGCAACAGCAAGCTGATGAAGGAATCCTTAAGCAGCAGGTCGCCTGTGTGCAGGCAGATGGGTCTTGTGCTGAGAGATAAGGGGCCCTGTAGCCTCTTTTCATAAGAACGCACTGTGTCAGCAGAATCCTCCCTCCGTTTCACAAAGGATCAGCAGCATTGCCTCCTCAGGGGAGAGACTGAGGCTCACGGAGCTTCCCTTCAGGAAAAAAAAATCACCCTTCCCACTTCCCCCAAACAAACCCACTGCTACCCAGTTGATCCTGATTCATAGTGACCCTACAGGACAAAGAAGAACTGCTGCCGTGGGTTTCCAAGGATGTACATCTTTCCAGAAGCATACTACTTACTATATCTTTCTCCAAATTAACCTCACCATGCCATTTTTAAAGAATTATCATCAAGGATTATTTGGACTCTAAAGTCTCCTATAGTCTGATGCCTTTTTGAAGGCAAAAGCTCATGTGACATACCCCAGCCACCACATCTGAGCTCTGGGAACACCCCTACTATACAATCTCGTGTGTCCACACCCGAGATTTAGCCATTCCTAATCCCTCCATCAAAGGAACCCCAGTGGTTTAGTGGTTATAAATTAGGCTGTCATCCATAAAGGTTAGCAGTTCAAAACCAGCAGCCACTCTGAGGGTAAAAGAAGGGGCTTTCTAGTCCCGTAAACAGTTATAGTCTTGGAAAATTCACTGAGCAGTTCTACCTTGTCCTATCAGGTCGCTAGAAATCTGCATTGACTCAGTGGCAGTGAGGCTGGTTTTCTGGAATCCTTCCATCTTGTTCAGTTCCAAGTGGCTTTTCCGTCCTTGGGGAGATGGAGTAAGTCTCTGAAGGCCCTGGGGGCAGGCTCAGAGCATTTGGCAGGTATGCCTTGGGGCCCCTGAATATGTGAAGAGTAGTCTGGAAGAAGAAGGGCATGGCCATAAGAGGTGCTTT